GTGCGATATCTTCAAGGTACAGTTTTTCAGAGTCTTTTATTTTCATCCACCTCTTTCTTGGAGTTGCATGCATACTCTGATGCTGATCATGGTAATGATCCCACAGATCGTAAGTCTGTTATCGGGTTCTGTATCTTTTTAGGTGATTCTCTTATTTTTTGGAAAAGCAAAAAACAATCTATTATTTCTCAATCATCCACCGAAGCAGAATATTGTGCCATGACATCTACTACTAAAGAGATTGTTTGGTTACGTTGGTTATCTACTGATATAGGAGTTTTCTTTTCTCATATCATCCTATTCCTATGTATTGTGATAACCAGAGTTCTATTCAGATTGTCCATGACTTGATTTTTCATGAGCGAACTAAGTACATTAAAATCAATAGTCATCTTACTCGTCACCATCTCAAGCATGACACCATTGCTTTGCCTTTTGTTCCTTCTTCCTTGTAGATTATAGATTTCTTCACCAAAGCACATTCCATCTCTCGTTTTTATTTTCTAGTTGGCAAACTCTCGATGCTCATAGCTGTCGCATCATGAGTTTGAGGGGAGATGTTAAATAATATTTATGTAGTCTTATTTATTAAGGGTAGAATAGTACTTTCAATTTAATCTATATATACTTTATTTGTATTTAAGTTAAGGTTAAGCATTCATAATATACAGATTATTCAGAATTTTAGCTTTTTTTTTGTATTTGATCTTAATTATTTTAACAAATATAATTTATAAGGGACATGAAATTATAGAAATATTGCAGTGACCATCATAAAGTCGAAGTCTTTTTGATGAATTCCATACCCATTAATTATCGAAAATGACAAGGTTTTAAATTCAAACTCATTGACTTTAATAAATCTTTTGTATTTCAACACAATTATTTAATTAGTGTTATTTCAATTTTTTTGAAGTACTTTTCCATTTTCAGAATTTACCCCCATGGAGTCAAGTTTAGAGTTATTTTGAATCCCCGATGGAAATATATCTTGACCACAAATTCACTAAGATATTTTCATTCTAAAAAGAAAATAGAACATAAATTTCATGAAAATCATTATTTCCTGCGAATCACATCACATTATGAAAAGCAAAAACATAAAATTTAACAAGCTAGGATGTGTTTACAGCTATTTACAGATCTTTAGTGTTCGCTTCAAAATCTTAGAATTCTTATGGTTAGATTTTGGCATTTCTAATTAATAGATTTATTAATTAATGATTTTAGTTTTAAATTATGTTAATTTTAGAATAAACCAATATTGTACGATAATTATTTATTAATAAGGCCTATTAATGTCCATATAGTCATATAACAATAATTTTTTTTCCAATAAACGCCTTCTTTTTCTTAAATCTTTCCACCATCTTTACTTTTTTTATATATATTTTTTTATTTTTAAAATAATAAATTGAAAGAAAACATAGGAAATGGATGCAAAATTATAAATAAATTAATAAATACAAATATAAAACATGCAGCCTCTCAAGACCATGAAAATCTATTAATTAGTCTTATTGAGTTATAAGAATTAATTTATAATTAACTAAAAAATATATGAATTGTTTTTTAAAGCTGATGTGGATCCACATCCACATCAATAAACAATTGTTCAAGGACGAAAAGATAAAGACAAGGCTTATAATTATCTCAGACAAGACGAACAGGTTTAATAGTCCAAGACAAAAAGAAAAATTAGTTTTTGAAGCCCCTCTATGCAAGTTAAATGAGTTTTTTTATAAAAGAAAAGGATTGTGAGTATTATTTTACTGTGTAAAAAATATTAAAAAGACAAAAAATCATATATATATTAAAAGTAATAAAGTGATTCCACTTTGCTCAGAAAATGTAAACATAGATTGAGTTATTTATAGATGAGTGGTTGCATGGAGATCTTAAAATTCTTATGAATGTAATTTTAATAAATAGATCTGTTAATTGTTTTAGTTTTAGATTATGTTAATTTTGGAATTTTGGAGTTTTGTTTGTTGATGTAAGATCATTTTATTTTTAATCTGCACTCTTGATGTTTTATTGGAGTTAAAATGCTGAGGCACGGGGCATTGTGATGCATGCATGTGTTATTAATTAGATAACTATGTTTAAGTTATTAATTAGTTGTTTAACATGATTATGTTTATACTTTCAAGGTAAATTATACAATGTCCCTTCATATCTTTTCTTGATTTCAGTGTAGAATCCAAGACTTGAGCTTTCCTAGATCGATCCTGTCATACCCACATTCATATATTTACAAAACAGTTTCTTCTGGCATTTAAATGTAACCATAATCATCACGTAATTATTTATATTTTTATGTTTTAAAAATATTTTTAAAAAGTTATTTTTTATATATTTTTTTACTTTAAATTAATTTTTTATATATACTTTTAGATTATTTTGGTATACTAATATTAAAAATAATTTTTAAAAATAAAAATATTATTTTAATTTATTTTTAAATAAAAAATACTTTAAAAAATAATCATTTATCACACTCAATCATCTCATAAATCTTAAAAATAGTTATGAAAAAAATAAGTGTTTGAAATATTTTTTTTGTGGGTGGCATGGTATAATATTTTTTTATTGTTTCTTGAACTATGCTCTTTAAGAATTTTTTATGAACTCTGCACTTAAAAAACCACTTTTGTAATGTTATATGCCATTTCGTCCATTTTCTTATGAGTTAATCATTTATATATTTAATCAATAAAAATAAATTAATTGAATTTTTAATCTTCGTACTCTTATTTCTTTAATGAAGTTTGCTCTTATACAATTGCTTTTTATTCATTTAAGAATTCCACCTTCTTACCATGCATGCATTTCATTACGTTTTCTTTTGTTTTGTCTAATTTCATTAAATTATGTGATACGTATAAAAAATATGTCATTAATTAATAAGATTATTCTTAAACTACATATATGATGAAAACTTGAATTTTATGCCATTTATTTTATTATTACTAAAAACTAGGAAAAGTTGAATTATAATTATTAATAAAAAAACTAGGAAAAGTTGAATTAAAAAAACCAAACCAATGAAAACTTATCATCAAATATAAAAGTGAAAAGTTAGATACAAATATAAAAAAAATGAGAAAAAAAAGAAATTAAAATGATTTATTTCTTTAACAGAAAAAGAAAACAACAAATAACTATATTTTTTTCTCATTAATCATGAAGCCAAATTATCTCAAAATACGCCATTAATTATAAGAAGATCATAAATTTCACATTCATAATTTTATTGATAACACATTTTTCATTAGATTCTAATTTCTTTATTGGCATGTTCTAAATGAAAATTTAATATTTGATAAAATAGAATATTTATAACTAAATTCTCACTTTTATTAATTTATGACAAATCTCTATTAGTATGGTTTTATTAATTCAAATTAGTTGTTTTTTTTATGATAAAGGAGAATAGGAAAAATGGATTTTTTTTTATTTGTATGTTGTAATGTTTCTTTAATGGGAATTGTAATTCAAGTTCTACCATTCTGTTAATCATATTAAATTATTTAAAAAAAACAGTGATTAGTCGGTACAAATTAGTAAGTTCAAAATGATTTTTCATTTTAATAGAACCCAAATTAAATTATCAAATTCAAAATAATAATGGAATCTCAAAGAAGCTCAACAGTCCGACAAAGATTGTAAAATCTAAACCACTTGATAATCCTAGAAGATATAATATAAATGAAAGAAAATATTAAAGAAACTATCTCAAATCCTAATGAATTCAAGAAAAAACAAAATAACATGAGAAATTTTTTTAAAAAAAAAAAAACTGAGCATCGCAAATCTTAAATCTTTTATATATTAAATTCAATAAAAAAGCTACTTGAATTATGAACTCATGGATACCAAATTAGCATATATTAAAATAAATAAATACAAGGGGAGCATTGATACAAAACTAAAACTAACATACGGATAATGTTAAAGTTTGAGATTTCTGAAGAAATTCTCATAACAAAAATGATTTAATGTATTTATATAATATATATATATATATATATATATATATATATATATATATTTCTTGTTCTCTAAATATTCTAGTACTCGAACAACCTGATTTGAGGATGCATTAATTTCTTATGTTATCGTGAACTGCACGAGGAACAAATCATTTTATTAATAATTAATTGGAAGATGGCATCGTGGCACGTGGTGACACGTGATCAAATTGAAAGGTCCAATGAAGGGTGAGATTTTCTGCTGAGATTTTGCTGTTCTATTATTTTTATATACAATAAATAAATAAACGATTTTTATATATATTAATTATCATGTCTTGTTTTTTTTATATACAATATATATAGATACATTAAATATGAACCACCGCTTTTGATTGAATACACATCACTCAGATGTTTTTATATTAATAATTAATGATTTTATCTCTCGGTGTAGAGATTAATTACTGTTGATGAGGTGAAAACCCATGCATGCAGATATATATTCAATTATTATAAAGCTACGGCTTGTAGATCTCCCACCATTATAAATTGAAGTCTCAGGCAAAGGTATCATGCAACATACAAGCATTAACAGCTTCAGAAGAGAATTAGCCATAGATCAAGAGTAAGACAGAGATCATGGACAGCAAGAAGGTCACTCTGCTGCTGATGGTTGCCTTGGTCTTTGTCGCCACCATTGCCCAGTCCACCCTTGCTATGCGGCAATTTCCACTGCTCATGACTTCAAACATATTGCTGCAGGATGAAAGTAACCTTAGTTGTCTCCCTAGTGGAGGCTTTTGCTTTTTCCAACCGAAGAATTGCTGCGGAAACTGTGGATGCCTATATCCAATGGGGATCTGCTTTGGATCTAATTGCTAAAATTAACCAGTCATGTCAGCTTTCTCTGGCTTGCTGAATAATCGTCTAATATTGTGATGAATAAGGTCTGTGTTGTCGTTTAGCTAGGAAGTTATGCTTGCAGCTAGCACAGAGTTGCGCCATGCATGCTTCTATAATCTCTCTTTTCATTTTAATGTCGTAGTTGAAGGGCTGTGAAGGTGGGGAAGAAGGTTGGAGGAATAAAGATAATAAGGGAGGGCCCTCTTGCTGCTGTGGTTATCCTGTTGCACTTGCAGAAACTATCAATTTAGTTTATTTTCATTAATGCAACTCATCCTAGCTTGTTAAATTTTATGTTTGTGCTTTTCATAATGTGATGTGGTTCGCAGGAAGTAAGGATTTTCATGAAATTTGTGTTCTATATATTTTCTTGTAGAATGAAAATATCTTAGTGAAGGGGTCGACCATTTCCACTGGGGATTCAAAACAACTCTAAACTTGACTATACGGGGGTAAGTTGATGAGTTTGAATTCGATACCTATCATTTTCGATAATTAATGGGTATGAAATTCATAAAAAGACTTCGACTTTATATGATGATCACTGTAATATTCTCATAATTTTATGTCCCTTAGAAATTATATTGAGGATAAATAAATAGATGATGTGTGGCATGCATTATTTGTATTGTTTTTCTTATCTTATCTTATATTATATTATATTATATGTGGGTATATATAAGAGTATCTCAAGAGTACTCTCGTGAGTTTTTTATTCATTTATTGCTTTATTAAAAGAGTCACATGTAAGCTAACAACATTTACGTGCAATATTATCAAATTGAAGTTATGCAAAGCTTCAGTAGGTTCATTTATCTTCAAAAGGAAGATTGATATGAATTGAGACAAATTAAGCTCAATATCAACTAGAAATCAAGCTAGAAATAAATGGATGATTTTCATGAAGAGATTTAGGGATTTTACCAAATCAACATAAAAGAAACATAGTGTGTGCTCCCCCATTTTACCTATAAATAGAGGGAGTCGTAAGAGAAGTAGGCACACAATAAAAAAACATTAAGTGATGAGGAAAAGTGAGGTGAAAGTTATAGAGGGTTTGTGAGTTGAGTTGAGAGAGCCCTTTTTAATTGGTATAATTTTTTGTTTTTTTTTTTAGTAAAAACAATGGTTCTTTGAATATAGATAAATTGTCAAATCATTTATTTTTAAACATTGATAATAAATGCTAACACTTTTCAATACAATAATGCACTAAAAATAAAAAATGAAAAAACAAGTACTAGCAACTTCCAACGCACCACTTTGATTGCCTATGTCAAAGCATTTACCCAGATATGTCATAAATGAAGGGATAATGAAAAGAAAAAATAAGTTTGTGTGTTTAAGAACAAGCACTGTTACATTAATATAAACTAAAATAATAAGGGAAAAGGAATATAAATGATTTTTTTTTTGGTGGTCAATCTTGGTTTTTCAATTGCACCCTTTTTTTGTCCAACTGTTTATTGATTTTTTATTTTTTTATAAGAAAATATAATTAAAAAATATAGGATCAAAGTGTGAAAGGTGGTAAAATGTGTTAACCAATCTAAAATTAGCACCGCAAAGTTGTTTTTGATACCTTTATTTTAATTTTTCATTTGATGTTCTAGGCCCAGGTTTCTTGCCAAGCCTAGAAACATCTATTTATTTTAGTTTCTTTCAAATTTAATTTCTAGGCAAACCCTTCTTTTTTTTTGTGTATTTTTTGTTTGCATTGTTGTTTTTACTTAAATTTAGATTAGGGTTTGCTCCCTCTGTAGTCTTAGGTTCGAGTCCTTGGTTGCTCATATAATGGTCACTGAAGGCTTACATGGTCGTTAACTTCAGAGCCCGTGAAATTAGTCATGGTGCGCGCAAACTGACCCGGACACCCATGTTAATCTAAAAAAAAGATTGTTAATCCTTTCAATAAAAAAATTGACTTAAAAACAAGATTGTTTAACTCAATAAGGGCTATGAAAAGATTGTTAATCCTTTCAATAAAAAAAATTGACTTAAAAAACAAGATTGTTTAACTTAATAAGGGCTATGACTTGTTTAACTCAATAAGGGCTATGACTAAGTCACATAATAGATAGATTAACCTACTTTAAGTTGTGTATATTAACAATGTCATCCAACCATTCTTTTTATAAATAAAACATTAGATAACTATTTTGATGATGTTAGGACATATATATAGAAGTTTCAATTTTATTAAGCACATTTCAAACTTTAAATTCGCAATTCTTGTTGCTAAAAACCACGGTAATAATTGTTGCTTATTTTTTTTATAAAAAATATTTGAATCGGAAAAAAAGAACCAGTTTAAAGCGAAGTCTCTTTATGGTGAATGATGCACATCAGCTATCAATGGCACTCTCTATTATAGCTGATGTGGGAGACAGAACGCAAGTAAGAAATGTGCAGGCACATGATTTGACGTACGGTCCCCAATGTCTTGTTTTATCAGCTATGATTTTTATTTTCTTATAATACTTTCCTACTTGCATAAAATAGGAACTATATATATATATCAAGACAACTGCCTCGCTACCAGTCCCTAATGTTTTGTTTTATTACCTTTGATTTTATTTTTCTACATGTTTTTATTAGTTTGTGATCGGGAAATTGGATAACTAAAGGGAAACAAAATCAGGTTAGCCACGAGAACGCAGTGAACTTGGATAGGGTAGTAGAATTGTAGATCATCTTCTCACTGTGAAGTCACCACTTCCGAGATCATCCACCGCCACTGACAGCGTCCCAATCAAAGCCAACCGCTGAAGCCATGGTGCACATCACCGAACTTCCTCCACATCCCTCCAACACCTTTCAAACAAAAGCTCACCAAAAGCACCTAGACTCCCAACAACAATCTCAAACACAGAGCTCTGTCAACTCTTTCCAATTTGCAGTGCACATCTTCTATGAAGGATTCCCGAGCTGGGTGGACGGAAAAACCCTCAAAACTTATTTAATGAAGATGGGTAAGATTCATAGGTTTTTCATATCTAGAAAACGCACGAAAGCTGGAAAACGGTTTGGTTTCGTAACAATTGCGTCCAATTTCTCCGATAAGGTTCTCATTGAATGCATGCATGACCTAAGGTATGGGCAATTAATATAACCTGAAGGCAAATATTGCAAGACACTTTAAGAAATCATTGGAAGTATCTGAGAAGAATCGTTGCTGGGAAAGACAAGACACAAAGCAAATCGTTGCTGGGAAAGACAAGACACAAAGCCAAACAATCTGTACAGTCATGTTTGGGTTAGGGGAAGACAACCTTCTTTTAAAGCAAATGAACTTGGGCTAGGTCGACTCCATCTCTCATAGGCTTAACGAGTGTGAGTGGCTGCCTTCATACTTATTTTTATCATAATAAATAGAAATGGGTTTGAATCTATAAATTATTTTTTAAGGTGATTTTTATTCTTTTTTCTTTGTTATAATTAATCATTCTCTTATCTAAAATTAAATATTTACTTTTACAAATATATAGCAACTTCATTTATCTTTATTCACTTCACTGTTTTTCTATTCCCCTAATTATCCCTCCGACATTAATCATGAAAAAAACAAGTTTTTGTAAAAAAAAAAAAATTGTTGTATTTTTATGCAAACTAATTCAAATTTTATTATTTGTGGCAATGGAGACAAGAATCAGAATCACTTGGTTTTTTTGTTGTACTTTCACTTGTTTTTAATTATGATCCTTGAATACATATTATATGATATAGCAAAAAACATTATTAAATTTTGTTATATATTTGATATCTCGGATTTGGATACACATCAATCATTTAATATTTATAGTAGTCAATGCCAACACACACTCTAGTAATAAAGAATCAGAATCACTTGGTTTTTTTGTTGTACTTTCACTTGTTTTTAATTATGATCCTTGAATACATATTATATGATATAGCAAAAAATATAATTGAATTTTGTTATATATTTGATATCTCGGATTTGGATACACACATCAATCATTTAATACTTATAGTAATCAATGCCAACACACAAACACACACTCTAGTATTACTATAACTATAAGTTTCTATTACAATTTATTATAAATTATTGGATAAGAATTCATGATTAAAATAAAAATTAAACCAATAGAATATGATTGGAAAGAAAGTATAGTAAAATAACATATAAATTCATCAAAAAATTTCAGCCTTTATTGGAACTATCACTTTTATCATGTTTCAACATGTACCATGGTACCAACCTCCAATTATTAATGGGAAAGGCACAGTCCTACACAATACTCATATTGTTTTAACCACTTTAGGGAAATCAATTATCCTAAAAAAGGTTGGTTTAATTGTTTGTTAATATTGGATTTTTCAAAATATATATACATAATAGAAATAATAAATTTAATTATTTTAGAATTTTTTAGAATTTCATTAAATAAATTCAGAGTTGTATACAAAAATTACTTAAAGTTTAGATATTTTTTATTTTTGTTTTGAATTATTACTTCAAGATTGAGTTGTTACGAATCACAAAACATTTAAGTGCTTGATCTATAATAGTAATTCATACGAATTATTAATGAGAAATCTACTAAACCTTTTTAGAATAGAATGTGAAAAATCTCATAAACACAAGTTATGTTAAAAGTTTTTTCTTTCTTTTAAATTTTTTTTTTCACAATTGTGTCCTTACACTTTTTTTTAATGGTCATTGAGTTGTTTTTAAACCTACAAAGTTGACTAGATCATATAAAGGTAACTCTCACGTGGTTAATTTTAAATCAGGTTATGCAAGAAGTCAAATCATGAGGTTTTTTTCATTTAATTTTATTTTTTTCTCAATTTCATCCTTAAATCTTTTTTTAATAATTATTCAGGTTGTTTTTAATTCTTTAAAGTTGATTGGGTCACATATTTAACTTTAAACTCAACTTAGATAAGGAGTAAAGTATAAAGATTTTCAAAGATGATATGTTGGGTTAGATTTAATGACAATGCCAAACAATTTTCCATGACTTAAATATTTCTTGTTATGTTCAAAAATAAATTTTGTATTTTGTATTGGTTCTTGATTTATTTTGGTGATTGAAAAAGTAGGGTATGAGTTTTTAAGCTCTAAAAATACATTTTTCAACTTGCTTTTACCTAAAATTACTTATAAATACATTATAAATCTTACTAAATTCATTATCAACTAAAAAATAACTTATAGTCTCTCTAAAAGTAAAATCTAAATGAATAATTTTTTTAAGGATCTTGATTTATTTTTTTTGACAAGGTTAAAAGTACAACATTATCATCATTGAGCTATTCTTGAAAAATAAATTTATTGACACTAATATCAATTTTTTTTAAATTTATCTAAAATGTTGTCATTCAAACACTTTATTTCTTCATTATCCTAAAAAAGGTTGGTTTAATTGTTAGTTAATATTGGATTTTTCAAAACATATATATATATATATATATATATATAATAAAAATAATAAATTTAATTATTTTCAAAAAATTTAGGATTGTTAGACAAATTCAAAGTTATATATAATTTATACAAAAATTATTTAAAGTTTAGATGTTTCTCTTATCTAAGTGTTTGACCTATAATAATAATTTATACAAATCATTAGTAAGAAATCTTCTAAATCTTTTTGTAATAGATCTTTTTGTAATAGAATGTGAAAAATCTTATAAATCACAAGTCATGTTGAAAGTTTTTTCTTTCTTTTAATTGTTTTTCTCAATTTTGTCCTCGCACTTTTTTTTAATGGTCATTAAGTTGTGTTTGAACCTATTAAGTTAACTAAGTCATATCAAGGTAATTCTCACGTGGTTAATTTTAAATCGGGTTATGCAAGAAGTCAAATCATAAGGTTTTTTTTATTTTTTTTTAATTTCATCGTTAAATCTTTTTTTAATAATCATTTAGGTTGTTTTAATTCTTTAAAATTGATTAGGTCATATATTTAATTTTAAACTCAAGTTAAATAAAAAGTCAGGTATAAATTGACATGTTAGATCAGATTTAATGAAAATATTAAATAATTCTCCATGACTTAAGTATTTCTTGTCATGTTCAAAAACAAATTTTATATTTTGCATTGGTTCTTGATTTATTTTGGTGATTGAAAAAATAGGATGTGAGTTTTTAAACTCTAAAAATACATTTTTTAACTTGCTTTTACCTAAAATTACTTATTAATACACTATAAATCTTACTAAATTCATTATTAACCTAAAAAATAGCTTATAATCTCTCTAAAAGTAAAAACTAGACGACTAATTTTTCTTAAAGATCTTGATCTATTTTTTTGACAAGGTTAAAGTACAATATTATTATCAGTGAGCTATTTTTGGAACACAAAGTTATTAATACTAGTATCAAAAAAATTTTATATCTATCTGAAATGTTGTCATTCAAACACTTTATTTTTTTTAATATTTTTTAGCAACTTTATGTTTCTTCTCTAAACATCCAATAACTAAGACATATAAAATAAAATTTGAAATCAAAATGTGAAATTCTAAAGCAACAAGGACCAAATAATAGGTAGATTGAAACTTTAGGGGACAAATTGAAATTTCATGTGACCATATATGAATTGGGGGTATGTTTAGATTGTTTTTGTTAAACGTTGTTATTCTTCTTTTAGTTTCTTTTTTAGTTACCTAAAATAACTTCAAAGAATGATTAATAAACTATTAGACCGGCATGCACAAGTACTTACTCAAAATGTGTAAATGAAAAGAGAAATTAATAAATGCATAGTTTTTTTTAATTATATATATATATATATATATATATTGAGTCAATTCAAAAGTTTTTTAATAAATAACTTTTTACAAAAAAAATTTGAGTTAGAAGTATGCTTATAAGGGAATAATTAAATCATTTGAGAAATAAAAATAATAAAATTCAATATTAAAAAAAATGAGTTAAAAATGTTAACTTTTAATTAAATAAAAAATTACTTAATTCTAAAATAAAATTTTGATCTAAATCAAAATTTATTTCCAATAAAAGATATTTGACAATTTCTTTTAATAAAAGAATTTTAAAAAATTCTAATAAAAAATATTCATGGCAATTTCTTCTAAGAAAAAAAAATTAAAACTAAATGCGAATAAAAAATCGTTTAAAATATAAGCATATATTTTAATAAAATAATTTAAAAAAATTCTAATAAAACATATTCTTGGCAATTTCTTCTAATAAAAAAAAATTTAAAACTAAATGCAAATAAAAAATCGTTTAAAATATAAGCATATAGCACAAACTGCATTTTCTCATTACCAGATACCTTGGGTGGTGGTGCCTGGTGACAGCTCTAAAATTTTCCCACGATACCCACTGATTATGGGCCCCGTCTCCATTTGGAAGCCCAAATGTCCATCTATTAGCCCAATTGTAGGGTACTTGAGCTTCATGTATTACCTGTTAAATACAATGGGCCCTGAGAAGCCTACTTCCCTGGCCCACGTAATTGTTTTTTCACATTTTTTATATATCTATATAAAATAACTCTCTCGCCCAGCCACCTTGTGCTAAAACCTCAAAATCAAAAACCCTAATTTCTAATGAATGGAAGCCAAATTAGGGCTTTACCGAACAGATGGGGAAGATATAATTACACATGAAAAACACAAAGAGAAGATTCTTAAGCTCAAAAGAAGGTCAGTTTGCTTCCAATGCAGCTTCAAAGATCAAAACTTTTTCAACTTTTCAAGCTACTAACCAAACTGGGTCTTTTGAAATGCAGGTGGTTATTAGGACTGCCTTTTTCAAAATCTGAAGACAAAATTTTTCATAAATATGTGTAAGTCAGTTTCTTTTTCTTTTTTAACATAAATTTGGTTACTTTTTATTATTTTTTATTATGATAATTATAGTAATAATTTGTGTTTTTTTTTTTTTTTGTAGTGTTTCCAGGTTTGTGCCTGAATCTTTGCAAAGGGATGATGATGTAAGTTGAATTACAAGTGCGTTTTTGTTTTTGTTGGAAAATATTTAGTGTTGAAGTCAGGGGATTATATCAATAATGAGTAATTAGAAGTGGGTTTTTAGTTTCATTCAGGAATACTTAGTGTTTGAGTCAGGTTTTATGTTAATAATGATAATTTGCAAGTGGGTTTTTAATTTTATTGAGAAATAGTTAGTGTATAAGTCAGGGTGATTATATGAACAATGAGTAATTGGAAGTGGGCTTTTAGTTTTATTGGGAAATAGTTGGTGTTTAAGTCAGGGTGATATGTACTTTATACAACTTTTTTTTTTTTTGTATTTGTGTGGAATTTCATAGAGTTCTGTAGATTTTTTTTTTCATGGCTTCCAAGTGAATTGAAAGGAGGCATGAAGGGAAAATATGAATTGCATATTGTTCTGTCCGTGTTAATTAATTGGAAAAGAATTTGGACTTTAAGATGGTTTTAAGAGGTGATGATTTTATCTTAGTTGTAGATGAGATTTATATTATCTCCAAACCCTTGAGCATGAATATGTGCTTCTCTCTAGCTTGTGTGGCTTGCCATAGATCCTGAAGTTTTGACATTCATATTTTGCATGTTTTGTTCACCAGATATTCCATGAGAAAGTAAAAGAGTATGTTGAAGAAGCTTTTGGCGCATGTAATGCTAAAAGAGAGGCTCATATTGCTCCAGACTCTAAACTTTTATTTGACAGAACCAAAATGAAAAGAATGCTCTTATCACGCTTGGATGCTCTGAATAATAAAGGGCTTCACCTTATTGCTGCATTACTTACAGGAGGTGCAGTCAATTTTGAAACCACTCATAAAAAAATGAAAGAGGTGATTAAACAATCAAGATTTCTTAGGGATCCAAATTGCGATCATGACCAAACAGAAATTTTGATGCTGCTGTATCAACTAATCAATAGCCCGCAAAATTTTAGAGAGAATTGTTTGGCATTGGTGAATTCCACATTTCAATCTCATCATTCTGCAGCTATTCAAGTACTGGATGCACTAGACGACTTACCAACTGAAGCCCTGCTTGCTATGCGCAGAAAACTTAGTGGTGTCCCAGCAAGCATTCCCCGTTTACTGAAGAAGAAATACAATCGTTGTCGAGATAGTGTGATTCATTACATAAGGAAGACTAGTGAGAAAATGCTTTCAGAAATTGGCGGAGGGGATGAGCTGCAGGAACCACTAGCCAAAGCACTAGGGATTGCAGGTTTATCTGTAAAGCTAACATCAGGCTCTTTAAATTCCTCTTTGAACGACTTCTGTCAATTCTCTCCAGAAATAAAAGTCTTGCAGAATGAGATATTGAAGGCTCTCTGGTTACTAGGAATGAAGAAGCTTAAATTACCAGAGGTGCAAACCTTGCAGCTTCTGCTGGACCCAAAGGCTGATGTACCAAAAGGAAGTCTGCGAACAGCAATGAATAAATTGTTAACAGAATATCTTTTCGAGTGCAGTGAGTTTAGTACTGTTCCTAAACCTTTGACAGAAGCTCTTGCTATTATCAACAGGAGTTCTTGCAAAACCCGGAGTGGATGCTACCCGAAGGAGCAAATTGAAGAAGAGGTGGAATGCATTTTAGGTTTAAGTTCTGAGATAAAGCAGGTGGTTTGGGATGTTTTTCCTCATCATGAATTTGACGAGGATTTTGCTGATGCTTATGTGGAAGAGTCAGAAGAAAGTGATGGTGGAGATGATGATTTTGTCTCTGATCATAACAATCTTGGTGAAGGTAAATCATATTCAATTGATTGGAATTACCAAGAAGAGAGTTGTGGGGAGCATATACCAATGGACTCCTTGCCACCTATCTCAAACCCTGACACAAGTTGTGGTCCTACTGTGTTCCATGAAACAAGAAATCATAATGTGGATGTCAGTAAGTTGAGCATAGCAACATTTGGGACATCTAGTGTAAATGAAGATGACTTGTCCGTGCACCATTCTCCAAATGGAAATTCAAAAGTCCATTATTCAATTAGAAATGAACCTGAAAAGGGTGCCACAATTGATCCAGGAAACTCTCAGGATGTATCACCACCTTCTACCTTCTGCTTGAAAGGGAAAAACATAAGTGGTAACCTATACCTTGGCATCCAAGAGATCTGTGATGAGACGAGTATGGTTGCTTACAATCTCATTGGTTACTTAATGGAGGGGCTGGCACGGAAAGAGGGCTTGGATTTAGATTGGGGAGATATTTCTTATCTCAGAGGTGATAAGTCAAGCAAAGAAAATCAAGGTAGTGAACTTGCTTTTTCTTCCGATTTCTTTTTCTTTTTTTCAAATATGCATGCCTACAGAAATTATCCCAGAGAGAACATAAGTTTTTTCTTCTGATTTCCGTTTCTTTTTTTCAAATATGCATGCCCCACTAACTACAGAAATTATCCCAGAGAGAACATAAAGATGGTGCTATTATGGTTGTCACTCTGGTTAAATTTTACCCTGTATTGGAAGTGAACCGACAGAAATGTTCAAAATCTTAGAAAACTCATGGTATCTTTAATATTAAGAGTTAAAATCAATCCTCTTCTGACAAGCGAAGTTTGTGAGTCAAACCTTTTCTGGTCTCTCGGTTAATCATGCTTTGAGAGAGACTAAAATATTGCTGCTTCAAGTATCAATATTTTTTTTCATGTGTCAATGATTTGACAACTTACCTTGACTTGTTTTTTGTAGTTTTTAATGTTGTATTTTTGGTGCAATCTGCATACTAGGTAAACCAAATGCCATTGGGGTACCCATTAAATATCAACAACCATATCACCTTCGTTTTTCCTTCCTTTCTTTTGTCTGCTTTCATTGCACAAAATTCTAGAGGATTGTATTTTTGGTGGAATCTGCATAATAAGTAAAGCAAATGCCACTGGGGTACCCGTTAAATATCAATAACCATATCACCTTCGTTTTTCCTTCCTTTCTTTCTTTTGTCTGCTTTCATTGCACAAAATTCTAGAGGATAGAATCTGCTATGGAATATTTTTCCAATATTTGTCTAATTCATCATTTTAGCGATCTGGTTTACTTATTTTGCATTTTTTTTTTTTAGAAACAAATACTTACTAGTTAAACCTACTAATGAATTGATTGTGGAAGCATGGTCCATCTGGTATTTACTCTATGAACATTCATTGCCTATGCTAGGAATGCAATTAATGAGGTCTTCCATTTGTATTTGCAGAAGAAAGAAAGAAATCTTCTGAGAATAATGTGGCTGGTTCAGATATTGCTCAAGTTGTTGAAGAGTTACTACCTTTCCTCCCGAAGAGGTACGTAGCTTCTTCTTTAAATTTTACTGAATAATAGAATTTTATTCTCTTTTTCTTATCACTTGATGCATGATACTGGTGTGTCCAGTCTACATTTTGATGCAATACTATAAGTTATAGAATGAAACTGAGCGTTTTTTCAATACCAGGCTTAAATAATGTTTAATAAATGCAACATTAGGAAGAAATGGAATTATGTAAAATGAACTATAATATATCTAGATCTTTTTTGTCGATAGCATTGATATTTGGGATCTCGTGACTGCAGTGAGAGCACAAGGTTAAAGGAGTTGATGGCCACATAGCAGAACTCTTCAAGATTTTCATGGAACATTTCAGAGCATTCCAACAACAAAAGAAAAAAATATAAGCAGCTTGGTTTGTCATTCAAGCTTGCAATTTTAAGATTTTCTCCATTCTTCCCGATGTTTAGCAATGAGTTGTGAGCTGCCAAGGAAAGCCATTTTGGACGGCAACAAAGATGGTTAACACCCTCATCAATTACGACTGGTCATTATACAGAGTTGCGACAGGATTGTAATCGTCTGTTCTAACAGCCATGTTTTGTGATCAAGGTTAGCTATATGTATCTTACCCGCCCCCCCATCCAAAAAGGGTTTTGGACAAGCTTACTCGAAGACAGCAACTTCATGGTCAATTTTGACCAGAGTTAAGTGAAGCTGTTACATTTAAAATCACACGATGTAACAACCATTTGCTGTTCGTTGACCTGGAACAGCAATAATTTTGCCTCAACATGAATACTTTGACATTGCAGTCAAGTTATGAGAACTAGCACGATTGTTTTGTATCTTCCTGTCAAGTTATGAGAGAGAACTAGCACGATTGTTTTGTATCTTCCCATTTTCCATACATTTTGATTTTCTAACCCCTGTGGAAGCTGGAAATATTTATATATGATAAAAGACTGCCAATATTGAAAACTCCATTCTCTTGCATTGTTGAGTTGTGCTGGTTTTTTAGTGCCCTTTCTTATTCCCCATCATGCGTAGAAAAACCTTTCAACTCAAGTTCACAAATTTGATGAAGAACCGTCACAGTTAAATCCAACATCCAAACCAAGTATTCAGCACACCAATAATTGTTCTGGCTATTAAATTTGGATCAAATACAATTTCATTTTGCTAAGGTTACAAAGATTACATTTCATTTCACACTGAAAGTTCCATGTGCACACCATGTCGCTAAGGCTTACACCACAGATGTCTTTTCTATCAATAAAGAATATCAGATTCACTCCATAAGAGATGTTATTTCTTCATTTGCCAGCACCATTCTCCCAAACATTGTCCCAAGAACCACTTGGAGCAGCCTTTGGTCCTTCAATGTAGCGAGAGTTCGCATTTGTACCTTCAGGTCCTGGAAGAGGAAGTCCATTGGGACCTTGTGGGTTGACCATTCTGGGCTTTGTTCTGATCCCCAGCAGCCTCAATACAAATCTAGCCAACTCTCCATACAACATGCCTGAGCGATCGAAAAGCTGACAGAAGAAAAACAATTAACTAATTAAGGATTTGGACAACAAAAGACAGATGTTCCTTGCGCTGCAGTTCAAAGATGGCCGTCTAGAAACTCCAACTCAGAGAAAGTGATATACTATGGAACACAATAAAAGCCCTCCAGCCATTAAAACTGCACTTAAATATGAAATGGGAATTAAATACATGCACTCTCATAAACAGTGGAAGAAATCGCTTCCAAGTGTAATGCATGCCATGAAGTGATCATGATCACACTCAATTACAGAACTTACCACTAAGGTTAACACCTCTGCAGTAGGTAGCTTAAGTGATGAGAACTAGTTAATACTATCAAGTTGGATGGCATAGGTTTGTTCATGCTCAATGGCAGTATCAGAAACAGAAAGACGTTAAAAGTGAATAGAGCTAGAAAATGTAAGCAAACATTTGAAAGCTAAAGTGCAGAGAGCTAGAAAATGTAAGCAAACATTTGATTGGCAATCACTTATCCAGTAATAACAAAGTGCAAGGAAAAAGATAGGGAGAAAACCTGAAGAAGCGCAGTCATGAACATGTGAAAAGCCTGTGTATTCTGGTCTATAAGAATTGATAAGCGGCCAAAAAAGTTCACCACTCCTTGCAACTGCCATCATTGGGAAAATGGTGAATGTCCAGATAAGAATAAAATCTATTTAACTAATTAGAAATGTTGGTGAACCAATTAATAACATTGAAGCAATTTGCAACCATGAAAGAGTTCAAAAGTAAGCAGTAGACAATCTTAGTACAAGCAGCAAAACAATTTTATTGCCTCGAAGGCATACAAAGCTCCAAGTAAAACACAGATAAAAATCCATTAAACTGTTGATAATCTAATCTGAAGAAATCTAGTTATTTTTATCGATGCAACCAAGTAAAACACAGATAAAAATCCATTAGACTGTTGATAATCTAATCTGAAGAAATCTCAGGTCTTAACCAACTGCAAGTTTTATAAAACTTTAGCTGGACCAAGTCTATTAATAAAATATTTCTACACCTCCAACCATTTCTCGAAACAGGATATGTAACTAGTCAAAAGAAAACCATGTCTTACCACTCGAAGAAATGAAATCCAGAAACCCGGTGGAGATGGAGGTTCACCAAATGGATTATTAGGGTCTTGAACTCCATAAGGACCACCCATGCCCATTCCATAACCACCCATTGCGCCTCCAAGACCACTATTGTACGTTCCGCCACCATACATCCCAGAACCATAAAGCCCACCATACCCGCCTCGATACATGCTGTTTCCATACATCCCCCCACCATATAATCCTCCAACCCCACCATATGACCCTCCAACCCCACCATATGATCCTCCAACCCCGCCATATGATGAGCCATAGGTCCCCGAACCATATCCGGAATTATAGTTCAGAGTGGAATTATAACCTGGGTCAGGTTAAGAGAAAAAAAAAAAGAGTTAAAAAATATTCAACCATGTAAAACTTTATATTGCTAATCATTACTCACCTCCATAGTTGTTTGTGCTATAACTCTGCTCCCAAGGTCTTGCAGGAAGAGGCCTACCAACAGCATTTGCGTTATTTGTGGTATTACCTGAACTTTGAACAATTTCTCCAGGTCTTGCAGTTCCTGAAGCTTCAACAACATCACTTGTGCTGCCAGGTGATGGTGGTTTAAAAGGTGTTGCACCAGAAGAACCACCAGATTGCTCCCATGGTTTTGGAGGAGGATTGTTAGCTGCAATATCCAACCACATGATTATCTCGCAGAAAAAAATCTTACAAAGTAAAGCAAAGGAAAATTAAAATACACCTAAAAGAGTTAGCAAGGCCAGAAGATTGTATGTAAGAAGATAAATTACATGATTTTTACAGAGCTAATGAAAAGCATCATGGCAGTTAAGTTCAGCTCAAGGAAAATACATTTTCAGCATAATCAACATTTCATAAAATAAATCACAGCAAGTTGAGACATTCAAAAAAGATGCAAAAAGAGAAGGCAGTTATCAAAGTCAATGCAAGAGAGAAAAGGAAAGAATAAACTTTTACGCAGAAAGCTAAAAATCATGTTTCCTAAGCATCTTCCAAAAACAACTCGAGCATAGCTTAGAATCAGAACAAGTCTCCGCATGATTACAGAACCTTTCTTTCGGATTTCACAACTTCAACTCATAGCACATGATTACAGAACCTTTCGGATTTCACAACTTCAACTCATAGTCCTAACAAAATATCTGAAGAAATTCTATTCCATCATCAACGACAAAATCCCACAAAAAAAGTTCACAATTTTCTAACCTAAAAAGACCTTCAAACTATTATTGTAACTGTGACCAACACGAAACCCAATATTCCTTTATCAAATAAAAATACCCCATTTCTTCTTTTCTTTTCTCACATTTTTCTCACCTACCAAACACAACCCAACTTCATAAACCCATAGTTACAATCAAAAACCCATAAAGATCCCATCTTTAAAACCAAACAAACCTCCCATCATCTCTTGATTACGAATATCCCAAACCCATAAATCAATCCTCTTTCATTTCAACTACAAAGATCGACTCAAAATAAAAAAGGGTAAGCACATAATGCTTAAATCATAATTTGAGAGAATCAGAAACATGGGTTTTCGTTGTTTTTCAAACCTGATGGCTGAGGATTAGATGCCATGTGTGTTGAAGAGACAAGGCATCAGTTATTGGTAAGACCAAGGCGCCAGCTACTGCAAAAGCAAAACCAGGAGAAGAGTTGTCTTTATTTTATTTTTGTTTTTATTTCTTTTTTAAAAATCTTATTTCCTTTTTATTATTTCGTGATTGTTATTAATTACACGGATCCAGTTGTGCTTATTGTAGCTTTTATGTTGCTGACATGGTCTTTTCCTTTCCTGTTGCCACCAGACTTGTGGAAATCATATAGTTATAAAACTCAACTCATTCCATAATCAATCTCAAAATTCATTACCTGGGAGGCCATGGATTAACCTAGTTAATCCAAATCAACATTTCAAGATTTTTGTTTGAAGAGTGAAAAAGGTTGTGGTTTTGAAAACTCTTTTAAAAAAGTCGAATAGGATCTCAACTAGGTATTGACTAAATTATGAAAAAAAATTTAGGTTAACATATTTTAATTAGGCTAATTTTCAATATAAAATCTATTCTGGTTGAATCTAAGTCTATAAATTATAAAATTAACCTGCTAAACCATTTAATAATATTAGTTAGTTAATAATATTAGTTAGGATATTTGAAGATAATAATTAAATTCAAATATGATGAATATTTGAATTAATGAATTGATTTGAATAACTAAGTTTTTTATAGTTATTATTTTGAGTGAATAAAAAAAATTACATAGTGTTGTTACATTTATGAACTTAATATATGTATATGTATTTGTGTATTGTGATGAATATTACCTAATTATTGCATTATGAATTATCATTAATCTATGTATTTGTTTAACCAAAACAAGTTCATGATTGTAAAACTCTCGGTGCTAGAAAAGGTTTTGTACGAGTGGTTTATTCCATAAGTGAATATGATTAGAGAACTAATCATAAAGAAGATAAAAAAGTTACTGAAAAATATAAATGATGTATATATGCTAAAATTCTATTCTTCTTCAAAGTTGACTCGAGTGCTTGAAATCAAGACATGGCATCAAGATGTATCATTGTTTCAGAGAAAGTGATTGGTTGATACAGAGGTTTTGAAGAGCAATTTACAATTCACGGAAAAAAATAATAGATTAATTTTTTAAAAAAAAATGTTTTTAATTTAAATGAAACAAAATTGTTGTATAGGTTATAACCATCTCATTCCCTTCCAACAAAGCAATTTGAAGGTAAGAAACAAGATAAGAAAAGACTAATAATTATTATTTTTTGTAATAAGGATGTTATGAGAAAAATTCCCTTATGGTTCCTTGCCTAGTATGTTAAACAATAATTTTTCAAGAATGTGAACCTAAATAGTATGATTTGTGAGTATTATGCCAACAAACAAGCATGAATGATTGTGATTTTATTTCAAGAAGATGTTCAACAACATGGTAGAAAAATAGATGAAAAAAAATCTTCTTAATTATTGAAAATTACCTTTCTCATTCAAAAACTATTGAGGATTTGAGAAATATTGAATTGTTTTTCTTGTCACACAATAGAATATCAAATAATTAGCCTCTATAATACAGGGATTACAAGATTTTTCAAAATATATTATCATTGTTGATTTTATCAAAATCTATTAAAAAATTATGAAATTCAAATTTTAAATGTAAAAAAGATAAATGTTTT